CAGCAGCCCGGGCGACACCTGGGCCGAGTCACGACATGGATCGCTGCCTGTGCACCGGCGCTGGCTCTGCGGGTGGGAAAGCCGGGCTCGGCGGTCAGAGAGCTGGTCCCGGTCCCCAGGGCAGGAGCAGAGCTAGGCTGGCTGGAAGCCCATGTCCCTGCATGTTAGCGACGGCCACATCCGGGCGGCAGGGCCCGAGTGCAGGGCGGAAGGCCGCATGGAGTCCACCGAGAGCCCTGCTACCAGTCTGAGGACGACACCGGCTCCTCCCGGGGCGGCAGGGCCTCAGCAGCGGAGAGAGGACAGGGACGCGGCCCGGGAAGCCCGGCTCTAGGCTGCTCTCTGGAGAGTGAGTCCTCCCAGGCTATTTCCTGGCAAGAGCAAGTTATTATTTATTTATTTGTAAATATATTATTGATGTCAGAGAGGAAGGGAGAGAGAGAGAGAACATCAATGATGAGAGAACCATGGACCAGCTGCCCCCTGCACGCCCCCTACTGGGGATCGAGCCTGCAACCCGGAATGGAACTCTGAGCTCCTGGTTCCTAGGTTGATGCTCAGCCATGGAGCCAGGCCGGCCGGGCAAGAGCGAGCGATTTATCTGAGCTGTTTATGCAGCGGGGACCTGGGGAAGTGCGGGCAGCTGGCTGCGTCCCGCCCCGAGGTGAAAAGGTGCAGGAGTGTTTTCAGGCTGGTGGCCGAGTCTGATGATGTCCTGTCGCTACAAGCAGGTGGCATTTACTTCACTTAAAAAACTGTCACCAAACCAAGGCCCACTTTTTTTAAATTATTCATAACTTTTAAAATATATATATATTTCTTTATTCATTTCAGAGAGGGAGAAGGAGAGAGAGATAGAAACATCAGTGATGAGAGAGAATCACTGATCAGCTGCCTCCTGCATGCCCCCCACTGGGGATCGAGCCGCAACCTGGCATGTGCCCTTGGCCGGAATCGAACCTCTTGGTTCATGGGTCAACCTTCAACCGCTGAGCCACACCGGCGGCTGCCTATTTTTTTGAGTTCAATTTGCACACCTGGTCCATCAGGGGCATGTGGGTGGGGTCCATGGGTGGAGCGGGCGGTGGGGCGGCACAGACCTTGGTCCCCGCAGGCGCAGCTGGAGGAGCGGCTTCTGTGCCGCGCGCAGGAGCTGGAGGCAGAGAACGCAG